TGTAAAGATGATCTACACTAGGGATCAAAAGTAGCAGCTGTTCTACAATATAGAGGACAAAGCTGGTACAGAAAATGGAAAAGCGTATTGTGGAGTCTTTAGCTTAATCTGCAAGGGTGGTTGGTGTTGGCAGGATAGAGTTACGCAGGCCAGAATTTTCTCTGCTGGTTGCAAAGGTCGTACTAGTCCTCAGAGGAAAATATGGGATCAGTATAGGGTTACAATACCACCTATACAGTCTGCACTAGGAGTACACTGGGGGCCCCCGGCTTGGTGCTAGCAGGCACGGAGAGCATCTCCTGCTGACCTGCTGTCACCACGGCTTCCTATTAAGCAGCGTTCGTTTCCACTTATGAGCGTCTTTTAGCGGAGGTATTCTCTGAAGCATTTTGTTCCAAGTATCAGTCCACTCCAGCGCTGCTTATTTTATGAAATGTAGCAGAATGATGCCTCACAGCATGGTCCTGGCTATCAGCTAAGAGAATTTCTTTTTCCCCTTGCTAGAAGCACTGGGAGGCAGGCAAAAATCCTCTCTGTGGACCTCTTGTTTTTTATCTGCCTCCAAACTTTGCTGGTGTCTTGCAGTTTGACTTGCAGATTTCTCTGGCTGACTTGAGTGTAATACTTAAACTGGATGATGAATAACTTAGTTTTGCAAGCTTCTGTGCAACGCGGAGTTTACTGATGATTCCTGTCTCCTTACTAAAGCTGGTAATTACTGCTTGTTTAACTGGTCGTTGATTTGCACTCTCTTGGGAAGCCTAACATCTCTGAAAATGACAGTGCAGAAACTGCAGTCTTGACGCTTTGCTTTTCATTTTCCAAGTTTTGTAGGCTTTAATTTATGACTGTTGACTAGACCGCCGGAGTATTGGTCTTCAAACTATGGGGTGTGTGTGTGCATGTGCAACTGCAAAGGCATGCGTCTGTATATCAAGAGTTTTTAACTGTTCAGCTGTTGTTTAAGACAACAACTTGTCTATTTTAACTTAAAGTAAGAGGGGGGAGGGTTTGCTGAAATTTGCTCTGAGTGCTTACACTGGGAAGTTAAGCCAACTAGCAGCCATTGTAATAGATTGTATTGAAAAAAAAAAAATAGGTACATTCGTGCTTATTACTGCCTGCTATAGTTAGTTTAGGTTTGGAGTTGGTTAATGAAGGGAGATACTTCCAAAAAGAGAGTGTGCTTTTCAGGATACGATAGCCGAAAAAGTATAGGAAACATTTTTTACTGACAGTCCACTTGCTCACCTGGTAAATGGTTTGATTATTATGATCCAGCCTCCGGCTTTTATAGCTAGCCCATGCACTAAACTGACAAATACCAGTGTTCACCAATTACCTAAATTAAGTCTGGGTCATGCATCTCATCTCCTGTTTCTTGTTTGCTTTGAATGAATCCAAAAGTAGTGCTAACAGCTGGAATCCCTGCTGAGGACAGCTTGATCTGCTCTGGAGCTGCTCCAGCCAGTGCTCTGATAAAGCTTGATATCATTTCAACAGGCTCTAGGAGGACCAGAATGATTTCCCTTCATTGTTTAAGGTTTCATTCAAATATTCACCATGCCAGGAAAAAGGATATTTCACTTCTGCTTTTCTCCCTTCATTGCTGCTACTAGAAGACTTTTTTTTTCCTCTTTTCTTAAAGTTAAGATAGAGTGTGGCCAGTGCTTTTGGATTCTGTGGGAATTGTTCTACTTCTTCATCCCCAGGGTCTCTGTGCATTGCGGTTGCAAAAGGTGCACTCTGTAAATAAATAATGCATCGATGTCTCGGAGTCAAAGCACATGTTCTGCTAAGAGAACATATTATATGGGGGAGGCCGGGGAAAACTCTGGCCTTCTGCCCAGATTTCGGTAGTAAGTAAAGGACCTAAATCCCTTTGAGGATCTGGCCTGCAGTCTGTTATTCTTCAGCAGCTTTTTGGTTATGGCATTAAAAAATAGTAGTAATATTGGATTGATTTTTAGGCAGTTCGGTGGTCTTGGAGTAACGTCTGCTCTCCAGAGAGAGACTTCCTCAAGGCCTCCATAATTTTGTGTTGTACATTGACTTAAAAACGCGGTGTTATCAGTCAACAAAGTTTTATTCCCACCGTGCATCATCCCTCTGGTACGATTAGCAGAGCTCTGCTGAGCTAGGCCTTGTGCCGGCGGTGTAGGTGCGCATCCCCTCGGCAGCAGCTGTACTTGCTGTAGAGACGAGACCCGAGACCCCTGCTCCCCCAGCGCTCCCGGCACAGCCCTCCTCCCTGCCCGTCTGCTGGCATCGCTGGCCCCTCTCCTCTGCTCTCTCAGCTCCCGAGGTCACGTTTCCCAGCATACGAGGATCAAGTTTATCAAAGGGTTACTATTTTAATTTTCCACCTAATCCAGCTCGCTGTGCATGGGATGGGTGAAGGGTGCACCCATATGAGTTGCTGTGCTAGCAGCTGGGATGGGGGGATGTACGAGGCGGGTTATCCTCCCCAGCGAGGGTACAGCTCCCTTGGACCATTTCTACATTGCAATTACAGCTGGCTTGTGGCTTCCACCAGGCTTGTGCCCCTAAGCCAGGCTTGTTTCCAGTGCTAGGCTGTTATCAGGCTGATAGTGAAATGTAAGTTCAGCTGCGGAGCTGTTTGTAACAGCAGAATGACAACAGCGCAGACAGGACCTACAGCAAGGCATCTAGGTAACTGCCAGGCACGATGGCAGAGGGCTTATTACTGGGAATAAAGGTACTCGCTCTTGTTCGCATCATCTCCCACCCTGGTGGGCCACCAGCCCCAAAGCACCTGTGGCCTGAGGTGTTGGGGTGAGAAGTGGGCTCTGGTGACTTACCGCTGCCTCCAGGTACCATTTGCTGGTGCTTGTGGGGAGGAAGGAAAGTCCATTCATACGTGACTTGATGCAGCGCAGTATTTTTGCAGCTGTATGTGCACGCCCATCCTAACTGGCCAACTGCTGTGAACAGACTTTTGTTCATGGTAGCAGAGGGTCAAAGAGATCCGTTGCACTGGCTGGCAGTAACTTCTGTGCCAGTGTTTGCTGGCACAGTAGAATAACCTTTGTGATTAAAGCAGCATATTGAAGTGCTATACTGTAGCTGGTCATGTGTCCCATGAGGACAGCATGCCTTTAGCATGTGCTAGGAAGCAGAAAACAAGACCTATGGGCTTCCTAGATAAACATTTCAATTGCTCTTGGTAAAGCCTATATGGTCAACCTTCAATGCTATCAACTGTGCTTGGCAGATTATTAGGGTCAGGTCATGCAAATGTTGCACAATCACATCCTCGTTCTGTGGGATAGGCATGTACAATACTCTTGTATCCAGAGTTCAAATGTTACGGTTTGGATGGATGGAAAATTAGATGGATAAAAAACTGGTTGGATGGTTGGGCTTGGAAGGGGGGTAGTTAAATCTGTCATATTATGCCTAGAGGCTGGTAACAAATGGAGCACGGGGGTCTGTTATGGGACCTGACCTGTTAACCACCTTTGTCAGTAACCCAAAGCAGATGGCAGAGTGCACTCTTATCAAGTGTGGAGATGGCACCAAACTGAGGGGGACCAGTGGATGCACTTGGGGCAGGGCTGCCACCTAAAGGGATCCAGATGGGCTAGAGAAACAGGCCAATGGCAACTTCTATGGAACTAAACATTGGGCAAATGTGAAGTCCTGCCCCTGGGAAGGCAGAGCCCCTTGCAGCAGTACAGGCTGGGGACTGCCAGGCTGTGGAGGAGCTCTGTTCCCCAGGGGAGCCTGGGGACCCCAATGGTCTTGGTGGGCAGTGAGCAGAGTATGAGCCTGCAGCGTGCTCCCTGCACAAGAGCATGGAGGGCAATATTCACAGCAGCACAGCCAGTAGATTGAGGGGAGGGATTATCGCCCTATTCTCAGCCCTGGGGAGACCACATCTGGATACTGTGTCCAGTTTTCCAACTGAACTTAGCCCATAATCTCCCATCACTCTTGCTGCTAATACTGGCAAGCAATGAAAGAGATGTCAGTGGAGTGGGAACATGACTTCTATTGCCACAGCTTTAGTGGAGTAAACTCCATGGAAGGTGACTGGTATCACTACCAAGTAGTCCCAATAGTGAAGAAGTGGCTCCGAGACCAAGATCTGGTAGCCTGCCAGCAGTCTCACCTGCTTTTCCAGGCATCCTGCTTAGTCTGCTAATGGTGTCAGCTCAAGTTTAATACGTTTTTGCTGTAAAAACTCTTTTAAGACCCGTCGACTCTTGTGTGGATTGGAGTAATTCATGTTAAGCTTATCTCATCATTCAGGGTGAAATTTAAACAAACCATGAATTAAGCGATTCTATCAGCAAGTCCGGGAGATGATCAAAGAGAGAAGTATGCTTCTGAAAGCTGGTTAGTTCTGTGACTCAGTCCATGAAAGCAAACATGCACTGCCCTGTGCAAACACAGCACAAAGGAGTTGCATATTTTTGCAGACTTTGCTCTATGGACTTTTACCCACACCTCCTGGGGACCCTCACTTTCTGTTGGACCATAGGGACATATATAACAGGGACTGGAAGATATGAATAGAGGAGGATGGTGGTAGTAAGGCATGATATCCTGGGATCACTGTCTACTTTCATTATGACTGGCAAATCAGTTTTGCAATGACTGCTTATCTTTAGAAACCAAGCAAACTGTAGCTGAAGCTGCCTCAAAGTCATGTACCTTGTAGAGAACACTAAGCTTGTACCATACAGACCAATGTTTTAGTTTAATTAATTTTTTTCCTCCTACTTTAGTGTATATATTGTGAAATATGAAGGGTATTTATTTCCAGTTTGGAATTTCACGTTGGCTGACTCATCCAGTGAAAGAAGCTTGTGCAGAGATACCTTCCAGTGGTGGCTGCTGTAGGTTTTGGATTGATCATCTGAAAAATACTGAGACAAACTGGTAGTGGGAGGATGCCTAGCAAAGGAAAACTGAAGGTGGGCATCTTGTAGAATTTATTTTTTTTTTAATAATCTTTATCTTTCATTCAGGCTATGGTTGCTTGCTATCCTGGAAATGGAACTGGGTATGTTCGTCATGTGGACAATCCAAATGGTGACGGGCGCTGCATCACCTGTATTTATTACCTGAATAAGAACTGGGACTCCAAGGTGAGTAAGCCATGGGGTTGAGGCAGAAGGAAAAACTACTTCAGAAACAGAGCTTTGGCACTGTCTGTTGCTTCTGTGAACTCTGAGCTTTTGAACAGCTGGTGCATTCTTCATATCTACATTTATTTTCTTAGTGTTTATGGCAACCCTTTGGAAGTAAGAATCTGAACTGTTTCCTTATCATTCTCTCCCGTCCCACACACTGTTTTGTTGCTGTAGAATAAAGCTTCTAAGCACAGGGCTGCTGGCTCTTACACTTTGTTTAGAGGAAAGAGCAATGAAGCATCAGAAAGAAAAACATAATCCACTAAGGAATAAGTGGATTCTGGGAGCAGAATAAAATGACAGCCCAAATTTGGGACTTCAGTGTTCTTGATACTGTTCCTTCAGGCTAACCTGCAGAAGATCAGGCAGTTGCCTTTGTGGTTTTCTTCCTTATGAAGTGATGGAGCTTAGTAAGAGGAACGAGCACATGGCTTGGTTTGTCCTCCCCATCTTTGACTGCACCAGCGGGTCTCTTGACAGGACAGTGCTCTTGTTTTTGCCTGTATTACTGTAAGGCAATACAGTCAGCCTTGAATTTGCCATACCTTTAAGTTAGAAACAAAATAAGGGTTTGTAAAGTTGTAAGACATCTCTTTACACTTCTGTTGTCATAGTGCAGCACAAACCATTCATGTGGATTATCTGTTGAAAATTGTCCAATGTTTTTTATCTCTCTAACCTGTCTTGGCCATGCTAGGTGGAGGCTTTTTAAACATATGTAAATACTATGAACCCTCAAACATGGGTTCAGATTTAGAGGCAATGCCACTAAAAAATGCACTGTTGGAGAAAAACACATTCCTTTACGGAGAGTATGACAGTGAACATCTCAATGTAATAAAATGAAGGACGCGATGTGGGAGGAAATGCAAATATCCAATTTATTTTGTGCACTGCACTCTTACTCTAAATAGTGAGGAAGCACCCAAGTGGACACTGAGAAAGCTAACTGAAATCCAGGACACTGGTGGAGAGTATTACGTAGGTGTGATGGTAATTTTATGCAAACGTATGCTGGAGGACATGCAATATAACCATGCTGGCCTTTGAAAGCAACCATGTTGCTTTAAACCTGACCTAATAGTTTCCTACTGAGATTTGCATGCCACGTGGAGGTACTAAGTCAGGTCAGCGCTGGGCTGACAGCATCTTCCCTGCACTCTGTGGTGCAGCATAAAAGCCTCCAAAGAGCCCTCAACAGCAACAGGGGGGAGGCAGAGTTCATCTGCATCTTTTGAAGTTTCTGCAGTGTGTGCAGTTCAGCAGACTTTTTCCCTGAAACTGGTGGCACCTGGAAAGAGAGAAATGATGTGGAAGAGAAACCAGGCTATGTCATAAGCAGGGAAAAGACTGGCTGGGAGATCTAATACCATTATGAGAAGTTTATTACAAATGCAACAATAGACTTAACTTTTACACCCTGGGAAGGGTGAACTCCTATATGGTCAGGTGCAGGCTCTGAAATACCATGAGCAGTATCTACCAATTGCTGGGAGGAGAGTCTGATCTCAGACTGGTCAGGTGGAGCACCCTTAGCTGCCTTGTGGTAGTCACTGGTTCCAGAGATGTGAGCGGGAGCTCAGAAGTTTCCCAGTGTTTGTTACAGAGCCAGTGTTGTCTTTATCTTGATTCATTTACTTTAGCCAGATGTTTATGCTGAAACATTACAAACTGTTTGAGAAAATCAAGGTGGCCAAGAGATTCAGTGTATGGTTTTCCAGTGTTGTCATGTAGCTGTCTTGGTTATCATTAGATGTTTATTCCCCATTTGGGTGCTGAGGAGGGAGAAATAAGTCATTGTTCACATGAATGTGTGGGTGTTTATATGTATTTCTTTCAGCTGCACGGTGGAATTCTTCGGATATTCCCAGAAGGAAAGTCCTATGTAGCAGACGTTGAGCCGATTTTTGACCGATTACTTTTTTTTTGGTCAGATAGAAGGAACCCACATGAAGTCCAGCCTTCTTATGCAACCAGGTAAGTAGCATATTTGGTACTGATATTTGGCCAGGAAAAAGCAAAGCATCTCTTCTACCAATATTTGTATCTAAAATTATGGCTATCGTGTTTGTTTAAATACACATGCATAAAAAAAATTGAGTGGGTTTTCTGGTTTTGAGTCATTAGGAATTCTCTCATCAAATGAGGAAGAACAGGCTTGAATGATAAGATTCCTTCTGTGATGGAAAAAAAAGCCCATGTACCATTGACAGGAGAAATCTTCCAAGCCAGGCACAGCTGTTTAGCTGGGAGATGCTGGGTTATATTTTTACCCTCGTAACACTACAGGGATTCTTGGGGCTACCATCTGTCAACAGGCTACGAAAAGCTGATGTGATGCAGGGCAACCCCCAAGCTGCCTACAGGCATCCCAGAACAGAAAAACATGCAAAGGTCTTTAAGCTACTTTTGCCCTCTGTTACCAGGGGCTGTGCACTCTTTTGTGCCTCCAAGCAGAAATTCACACCTATATTTCTATCTTACTTGATAAAATATACATTTAAAATGCTGTCTATATTTGTCTATAAAGATGTGCCGTTTGCATCCTCTTTTTTATCTACTAATCCAGTTTTGGTTTTTGCTTTCTCTATGAGCATAAAACTGCAGGGCTCTACCTTGATAGGAAAAGTTGAAACAAACACAAGATTTCTTTCTTTTATAGGTATGCCATGACTGTGTGGTATTTTGATGCTGAAGAAAGAGCAGAAGCTAAAAAAAAGTTCAGGAACTTAACTGGTATGATTCTTTTATAAGTGTTCACCAGAAAGAATTTAATGCATTTTGATATTTCCAAAGTTAAAGACAGATCGGGAATAACTCTGTAGCTAGATGGGTACAACATTCATTTTTAGAAAGCTTTTTCATCTGTAATCACTAGTTGTGTATTTTATGTGGAGTGGAGAAGGTGACAGAAGAAGATTCAGGTCTGGCCTCAGTATCCCTGCTGAGTGTGATGGGGAACACGGGAGAGGTGGTTACTGATTTCTCTCCCAAATGGCTGCTGAGATTTTGTCCCAGCCCAGGTGGCTGCTTCTGTCACTGGGAGTCTCTAAGCTCTTCTTTTGTTATTTGGGAAGTATATTTTGTCTCCTCCGAACTTTGTTTAGCACAAAGTCACAAGACTTATGCAAACAGTTTCATAATCGTGTTCTCTAAATGTTCTGGCCAAGTAGGGCCTGTCTTCTATTTTAATGAAGGGCAGTTGGGACCTGCAGCAGTGCAAAAGGGATTTGTCTTTAATTTACAAGTAATTTCTGAGTGAGGATATTCATAATGACCTTGGAATGAGCTGGAACCTTGGATTATGAGCTGGAAAGAAACTAAGTTTAGAAATGTAAGTGCATCTTTTGGCAGGCAGTTGCTAGAGTAGCTGTGATCATGGTGCACTTCAAGAGCTACATACATTCAGCTGGGTCTCACAGAGAGCTTAAAAGTCAGCCCAGAGACATTTCTGCAGAAGCCTGGGAAGAGGTGACCCCAACTTTCCTAACGGCAGCCACACTGCCTGCTACTGTTGTAATGGCATACAAGTAATGGACTAAGTTGTCCAGATGTGCTCCAGCACCCTACCTGGGGCCATGCTCAACTGTTTGCTCTTTGGAGCAGTTTAAGACCTGGTCTTCAGGAGCTGCCTCAGGCAGTTCCTCAAAATATAGTGTGGAGAGCATTTGTCTTTTTTAAAATGTGTGCTGTGCAGCAGGGGACCAGCAAAGTCATAATTAGTCAAATGCTTTTCAGAACAGACTGTCATCTATGTAGCTGGTATGCAAAGCAAACGCTGGCTTCACCCTTGAAGTGGATCATGAGCAAGGGGCCAAGAGAGGGGAGAAAAGTATGACAGATCTGGAGTCTGGAAGTTTATTGGGCTACTTAAATACTGCATGAGTCGTCTTTAGTTTCAACAGGGCAAATGTACAAAACCTTGCTATGACTATCCCATTAACATGCTATGGATTCATACAGCATTTCAGTCCATGCAGTGAATTCATATCATGAGTCTGAAATGGAAAGTGCTGTCCATTGAAAAACAAACCAACTTTATTCTGTTCGAGTTTTCAGATGTATACTGCCAGAAACCTCTGGCTTAACTGCCTCTCCTTTTTTTCATTTTTTTTGATGTAGATGCAAGGAAGAGAGAAGCACCTCTTAATGAAGACTAGTCAACTGTTCCTAAACTCTTTGTGAGGAAGTAAGATCCCAAAGATGACTTCCATTTCCAGCGAACAAGGGCAAATTGTTATGCAGAAGAATGCACTGGTTGTGTCTAGCATGTGCATCTTATATTGATGGTACTTAAGGCAACCTCCTGTCATGCCTGCATCTGGCAGAAGGAACACTTGTTTTCTATTTGCCTTTTGCTGGAAAAAGTAACCAGGGTTAAAAAAAAAAAAGAGTATCACTAAGCCTAGTGGTAGTGGCTCAGCCAACTGGCTTTTGATCACTCTTGTAACCAAGATAACGATCATTGGAACTTGTGGTAAAAACCCAAGTCTTATTTGCACTTTATGGGGGGAGAAAAAAAAAATCTAGCTCAATGGGAAGGGGCTTTACAAGTTTAAAATCTGTGGCAGACTGCTAATGGCCAAGGAGAGATACTGGGAATGTGAAATTAAACTGGATTTTTGTAGAATGTCATCTTACGGTCTGTCCCGCATAGGCCTGTTGATGTACTGTTCATCACTTTGCTGCATAGAACGTTGGCTCAGCTTTTTGATAGCACAACTTTCCAAACAGTTTTTTGTCTACACAGTCATCGCATTTCCTGGATTTTGTTTGCTTTTCAAAAGTCAAGTTCTAGCTGTGCAGTTGCGCTGCCTTTTCTGTCCCAGGACTGAGGGGGAAGTAGTTAGTGCATCTGTCCACAACTTTGTAAAACAGTTTCCTTTCTGTTCTGAGCGGGACGGGTTGTACGGTTTCTGTTTTCACCGTCTGGTAAGACAGCTTTTTTCTCCCAAAAGTTTGGTAAACTTGGAAGGCTGACGGCACACAATGCATTGGTACTAAAGGCCAATGATATGTAGAGTTAAGTGTTATTTTCATGACTTCTCCATCTACTGTGTTTTGTATGACACAGATAAGAATCTGAAAGGAAAAGATAAGTCTGGCAGTCTGACAAATGTGTGATAAATAATGGGTAACTTAGACTTGATTTCTATGCTGCTTATCCCTAGCTAACACACTTGTTTAACTTTTCATGCATATGTAATTTGAATGAAACAATGATTATATTTCAATTGATCTGTTATGCCAGGTAACTACTGCTGTGCTCAAGCCATGAGATCAGTTATTCAAATGGCAAAGCACATATTTTTTTTTCTCCATTACTTTTGTAAACTTAGACTCAATGAGTAACTGGTGAGCTATCTCCAATCTGCCTAAGCTTCTACAACCAGCACTTACTATGCAGTTCAGAATAGCTCTTAATGAAGCTGAGAGCTGGCGGTGGATCTATTTATCACTCACACTAATTGTTCTCAACCTAATACACTCACTTGCATTCATTTTTGTCTCATGTTGTCAGTGTGTATGTCAGACCCTACTAAATGTTCTGAACAGATGCCCTCTTCAGTGTCCCATATTTTCCCGTGCCACCGGCCCGCAGTGGCGAAGGCGGTCTGTCTGAGCCGCCAGCCCCTGCACCAGTTCACCGGGCTGTGCCAGGCTGTCGTGCTAGTCATGGGTCTGCGGGCCAGCTCTGTCGCACTTGAGCTAGGGAATGAAAAGGCGGTGTGCAATGGCAACTATTAAATGTCAGTGACAGAAGGGTAACAGCTGCACAGGACGGAAAAGAAATAACTTTCATGACATAAAAAATGGTAATAGAAATGGAGTATGTTTTTAAGCAGTTCTGTCTCTTAAAAAAAAAAAGAAAACAAAAAAAAAAAGAAAAAAGCTGGGCATCCCTCAGCCTGTCCTGAATTCTGAATGTAAATGCAGTAGTGCTAAGAAGCCCCTCATTCTCTCTGGCTTCTCCCAGCGATCCAGCTATGGTCTTATGGGCTGGACTTTGTTCAGCCTGACCACTGTGCACCTTAAGAGAGGAATATGAGGAAACATGCGTGACAAATATTCTTATAATTCAAGACTAGAAAAAGACAAATAATCTGATAAATGTTCTTTAATGTTAAGAAAAACATTATTCCACTACAGTTGCTTCTAAGTAGCACAGCATAGACTTGAAGGAAACTTAATGATAACTTGAAATTCTCATTCTGCAAAGTTCATGTCGGACGAGGAAGAGTTAGGACTCTTCCCTGAGAGTGAGAGGTAACCCTTTGAAAGATGGGAGGTGTAGAAAAAGGGGGGCCACAGGATTATTATTTAAAAAGGGTGGGGGGGGAGATGCAGACCCAATCTGTTGTATTGCTATGCAAAGTTGATAATGGCATGTAAATTTGAAACTCCTACATGATTGTAAAGGGGGCAAAGACAGCTAAACCAGAGCAAAGTTAAGTCTTGATTTGCATTTTAAAACTAACCTTAAAAAAAAAAAGTGCACTAGAAAGAGATGTTAGTACACATCTCACTGGAGCCTAGAACAGTGGAAGAACGATGGGGTGGGAGGGGAAAGGCTTTGTATAAAGGTTGAAAAAGAAAGGTACTTCACTTACCACTATTGTTACCACCTGGCTTCAGCAGTGGTCAGCAACACACATGCAGTGGATGGAGTGTGGAGCAGTATAGATGCATTTAATGTAAATAAAGTACATGTTTTCATTTTTAGCCAATATCTTCCTGATCTAGATAGGAGAGAGCAATTATTCTGTGGCAGAAAGCATTGTCTTTTTCTTTATTAGCACATAATTAAGTATAAAAAAGTTAGGGCACAAGATTTTGAAACCAATTCTTCTGTCCTCTGTTCCAGAGCTTTAGCCCATTTCCAGATCAGTGGGATGATCTCCTTGAAGATGCTGTAGTTTAATTGGAGGGTTGGGGGGGGTGGGTGTTGGTCATATAGGAGTCCACAGGCTTGATGTTTTCTACACAGATTTCTCTTGCCTGTCTCTGGAATTGTTGCAGACTGCCCTGCAAGAATGAAATTGTCTGAAGAACTGTGGGGGAAGCAGGCTACTGCAGTAGGGAGGGCATTTCAAGGAGATTCTTTCCTTTCCTCGTGTTTTGTCTTCATGGCAAACTGTTTGAAACATCTGTGGTTAAACAGCACTTGTCACCCAGTTGTAAAAATGAGTGTTTTCTCTAAGGCATTTAATTTTTAGTCGTCCAAAAGGTTTGTTGGGTTTTTTCAACCTTTAGGTAATGTGCCTTCATCATTCATATCTGTGAAGATGTTAGATGCCACATGTGAGTGTCATGCAATTTTTTTGGTGGTTCTTAAAGAAATATGGCTGCCTTTCCAAATACAATTGCATTGGAAAAATATGCAGAGCCACCAAGCCACAATTTGCAACAGGTGGTTTTTATTGTGCAGGGAGGAAAAAGGCCAGGAGACAGTACTGAAAATCAAGATACTATTTTTATTCTTAAACCTGTATCCGTTGGCCTTTTGAGCAAAGTAGCCTCTAATAAATCTTATTTTCTCTAGATTACTTCTGGTTCTGTGAGGAACGGCCTCTGCAAAGTAGTGTCTAAAAAGATCCACTCTTTTTCCTTCTCTCTTTAAACAGTTTTAGTCCTTTCCTATTGCATTTTTAAAAATGTTGGAATATATTATATATATTTGTTGTTGCAAAATAGCTGGCTCTAACATCACTTGCATCTAGAAGAAAATGTATCGATTTGCAGGCAAATAACTAATTCTACTTTGACTGTGATGTACTCCCAGCAGATATCTGAGAGTGAGTTATGACTACATCTTCTCTTGTCAGGTTGTATGCTGGTCAACAATGCTGGCACTTTGCATTGGATTGATATAGAAACCCCTAGTAGTGTTTTACCATACATCACATTTTGTGTTCCTGTTACTGTTAAAAAAAAAGAAAAAAATGTGGCAGGAGTCAATAAACACTGGGTCATGTTAAATGTTGTCCTGTGCAAATCTTTTCAGCCTTGTGTCTTACCATGGCCAGAGTTGCGGCGGGTGGGCGCAGTGCCACGCAGCTGGATGAAGGGTGGTGGCACTGCACAGAGGTGACGCTGAAATCCACAGCTGCCGCTGTCCTCTGCTGTCGGGGACAGCTCTGTTTGTTGCCATCAGCTTGACATGTTTCCTTGGGCACTTCCTGCTATTTTGAAGTTATTTACCTTGCTAGTGACCCTCTTCTTGAAATGCCTATTTGTTTTCACACTCCTGTTGAACCAGATAACATTCTCACGATTCAATTGTAGTCTGATAAGTTTTATTTTTAACAGTGTTCACATCCTCCCCCTGCTACTTTTCCAGCCCGAGTCCCACAGTTTTCTCCTGCAGCTGTGGGGGAGGCTTCTCCCCACTCCCACTAACATTGCAGTTGAATGAAAGCCAGGACATTTTCACTCGTCTGTTAAAGTGCTGTGAACCTTTTTTGATTCATTTGCAATATTGTGAATAGTGGGAATTTCCCCCCCTATGTAAAAGGTGCTTTTGACCGTGGAGGGCTTGGATTTGACTTTTTTGGTTCAAGAGGGGAGAGGATTCTAGATAATTTGCCATTTCTTTAAGCGTTTCTTTTACACAGAGGAGTGCTTAGAGCATGTGGAGAAGACCTAAGGAAAGCAGAGGAGTTTTTCTTCTGAGCATGCTCCTCACTGAATAAGGGTTTGTAGGGACAGCTTGAGAAGAAGCTGGCCATTGGCCATCCAGCTGCCAAGGACTTGTCTTTTCTCTGAACTCTGACTAAACTTTCTCTAAGCAAATATGCTTGCAGTAGTTGTTATCTTATAGCTATTTAGGGGTCTCTTTCCTCCCCCACCTACCCAAAGGGATATGGCTAAATATACTTTCACTGACAATTCCCATGACTCTTGAGAATGCATCTGATATCGGAGGTTGCACTGAAAATTACAAAGTAGCATGACAGTGGAAGAGAGGTTAGTAAAAATTGATTCCCCTTTCCCACATAATTTTGTCTCTGTGGAATAGTTCTACTTGAGAGAGGTGGTAAAACTCCCATCCTCTTTCACAAAGTGTAGATAGAATTTTTTTTTTTAATCGGTCTTGTGGAAAGAGGGGATCACTTCATCTGCATGTGTGCTTATTTTAAATAATGCTGGAGATGCTAAATAAAGTAAAATACGCTAAGGCAGTCAACAGCAATTCTCATGTGGTGGCAAGCTCAGTCAGTGCCAGTGTGCAGGTCTGCTCCTTTGCTGCACACCCACAGCGGTAAATCTTCCTGTTAGAGGGGAGGCAGTTTGTGCTGCCCTATCTTAGCTAACATGCTGGAGACTGATTTAGTCAGAGTGTGCCTGCCTAGTCCCAAGGTTTTGGGAAAGTGTTAATCTGGCTGGCTCCTAAGTCTCCTGTATGGGTGGTTGGTGAGAAGCATGGAAACAAAGACCCTGTAGTCCAAGCTAACAGAGAAGATCACTTGTAATTACATACAGCTGTTCTTAATTCCTTTAATTTTGACAT